TTAGGACTGGCTAACTTTAGTGATTTATCGACCGAGTTATTAATTTATTGAGTTTCTATTGTATTAATCCCTCGTCATGGTGTAGAGCGAGGACACAATGGTTGAGATTTGGGTTGATAGCGTATCGTTGCAACCATTCACACAAGAAGAGTGGAACTCTCATCAGGAGCAGAGCATTCTCAAGGCGAGAAAAGAAACCGTGAGGATCAAAGCCGTAAACAGCGAAGGCGAGTCAGTACCAAACGCAACCATTTCCATCGCACAGAATAGACTAGGGTTCCCATTCGGGTGCGCTGTAGAAAAGAACATACTTGGGAACAAAGCATACCTAAACTGGTTCACTAAAAGATTCACTGTGACAACGTTCGGGAACGNGATGAAATGGTACAGCACGGAAAGAATAAGAGGCCAAGAAACTACTCGGAGGCAGACGCAATGCTGAAACTCTTCAAGCAGCATGGTATTGCTGTCCGTGGGCACAATGTTTTATGGGACGACGGTAAGTATCAACCTCAATGGGTGAAATCTCTGTCTANTAAGGATCTTTACAATGCCGTGAAACAAAGGGTTTCCTCGGTGGTTTCGCGATACAAAGGCCAGCTTTTGGGTTGAGATGTTATGAATGAGAATCTCCATTTCTCTTTCTTTGAGAGCAAGCTAGGTCCTAATGCCTCGAATCAAATCTACGCGATGGCGCATGCCAATGATCCAAAGACAACAATGTATATGAATGAATTCGGTACATTAGAGCGACCAAAGGATTTGGCTTCTAGTCCAGCAAGGTATTTGCAGAAACTTAGGGAGCTTCAAACTATTCGAGTTGCCGGAAAAATTCCTTTCGGGATCGGTCTTGAGTCTCATTTCAGTATTCCTAACATTCCGTATATGAGATCAGATCTTGACATTCTTGCTGCCACTGGTTTGCCTATTTGGCTCACTGAGGTCGATGTCAAAGCTCCTCCAAATGTCCAGGTAACTCTCAAATATAAAGCTACCAAAAATTCCGTTCTGTTTTGATGTTCGGGTTTCTTGCAGGGCAAGTATTTCGAGCAGGTCCTAAGGGAAGGCCACGCGCATCCGCAGGTGAAAGGAATGGTGACTTGGACAGGTTATAATCCATCGGGTTGCTTCGTAATGTGCCTCACCGATGGAACCTTTAAGAACCTACCCACTGGAGAGGTTGTGGACAAACTTTTGCGTGAATGGGGAGGGCTTGGGGGGAAAACCACAGGTTTAAGTGATGCTGATGGATTCTTTGAAGTTTCACTCTTCCATGGTGACTATGGTCTCAACATTTCACGTCCTTTCGCCAATTCAAAAGCCTCTTATAGCTTTAGTTTAACTTCTGATGACTCTTCCTCACCATCTCCTTTGGTGTTTCGTGTTTGAGATGTTAAGTTTACAACTATCTGTGTAGTTTGCATTCTTAGTGAAAAATGGTGGAAGATAATGTGTTGTTGATTTGTAGCCGTGTGTGAGGAAACTCGTTCACATGGGGTTACCATATAATAAAGGATTTATCAATAATATTAAATTTCCTCTAACTATTCCGTTAACTATTTGAGGTGTTGAATCTCAAGTTTTTCTCTACGGATCGATCGTAGTTAAATCTGCAAAATGCGGATGTTAAGCTTTATAGTGCCAAAAGATTTTACAGATTGGGGGTCACTAAACTTTTATTAATATGCTAAATAAATTTCTATCTACTTAATTTACTAAAATAATATGGTTTAAAGTAGAATTATGTTCTAAATTATGCATTTAAAATGCAAAACAACTTGTGAATAAAATGTTTTTAGTCTTTGACCCAACATTACCTGTTAGAATCACAAGAAATTTGACCAAATGTGTAATTTCTATTTTGGAAACTAACCAAACCACTAATATAATCTTAGTAATCAAATTAATGTAATAATTGAATGGGGTTAATTAGTTTAATATTACTTTTAGGACCTAAAA